CTGAGGTGCCCTTGAGCAAGGCACCGAACCCCCAACTGCTCCCCGGGCGCCGCAGCAAAAAATGGCTGCCCACTGCTCCGGGTGTGTGTTCACGGTGTGTGTGTGTTCACTGCTGTGTGTGTGCACTTTGGATGGGTTAAATGCAGAGCACTAATTCCTAGTATGGGTCACCATACTTGGCCACATGTCACTTCACTCACTCACTTATCAATTTAACATGTCCTTGCTAAATAAAAGTATTTCCTTCATTTGTTATTATTGTTACAAAAGATTTCTATTTTAAATAAGTGCTGTTCTTGTTAACTATTTATTCATCAAAGAATCCTGAAAAAGTACCACAAGTTCAAAAACAATTATTAGGCAGCAAAACTGCTTTGAACATTGATAATAAATCAGCATATTAGAATGATTTTTGAAGGATCACGTGGCACTGAAACCTGGAGTAATGATGCTGAAAATTCAGCTTTGACTCACAAGAATAAATTACAGTTTAAAATATATTAAAATAGAAAACATTTATTTTAAATTGTAATATTATTTCACAATATTACTGTTTTTCTGTATTTTTGATCAAGCAAATACAGCCTTGATGAGCATAAAAATCTTCTTTAAAAAACACTGATCTTACACACACACACACATGTATTTACCTGGTGGCTGTGTACTGTAGTCGATGATGCGTTGTTGGCCTTGGGCCAGATCAGGGTTACTGGATGAGAGATTTCCACTAACTGCCATAGTGGGCGGAGTCTGTTTGTTCTGCCGTAATCCCACAATGCTGTCATCCTGAGTCTGTCCTAACCCGAGGTCACTACACAACAGAAGCACAATGACTCAGCATGACTCAGTAGGAGGTCAACATTAAATCAGAATCTACCACACAAGTCAAAAGGAGTGGATGTGAGATAATGCTAAAACCCCCTTCCGTTTATGAACATATCACTAACATGACAAAGATCCGTACTGATGTCTTTTCTTCTTCAGTGTTTCAAGTCAGCAAAAATGTGAGTTTGTGTGCTTGTATACCTGTAAGGTTTCTGAGGTAGGATGCTCATGCGTGTCTTGTCTAAAATCTTCATGAGTTTGTTTCGGCCGCCCACTGTATGTGCTTTGACCTTCTTGCTGACTTTTTCTTGACCTATTACATCAGAATCAGCCCCAAGTTCAGGTACAGAATAACGGCTATTTTTCTTTCCATCACCAATCTTTGGAAGATGAGGAATGCCATTTTTCCTTTCCTCTGCCACCCTGGCCACCAACTCCTTGAAGACTGAGAAGAGTGAAAGTGAGTAAAGCATAAGAAAATAATGAGAGATATTTATCACCAGCCTGTGTGTATTGGAAGGCGTAGCCTGGTGGGAATCTTACCCAGGAGGTTAGTTTTGACACTCATACAGAGCTGTGTGTTGTTCCTGAGGATTTCAACTGCTTTGGACAACTGCACATTCTCGAATGTCTGCCCGTTCACCTCTAATATCTGCACGAGTGTGAAAAAGATGAGATAAGACAAAGAAAAAATTTGTTAAAGAATATGCTTCATTGTCTCAACACTGCTTCATAATGGTGATCATCAATGGAAAGGTGTTACCTGGTCTCCACGTTTAAGCCCCGCCTCTTCTGCTTTGCTACCGACTTCCACGCTGCTGATAAAGAGGCGCGTTCCTCGTTCAGCTCCTCCAATGAGTGTGAAGGGGAGGGGCATCTCTCGAGCAGGCCTATTTATAGTAATCACTCTGGGTTTGGCTTTAGCAGCACAAGCTATGTTAAGTAACCGCAACTGACCTGTCATTTTCTGTTTGGATAAATAGAGGAAGTTAATAAGGATGCCTGTCTGATAATGTGACGACTAAATATGCATTAAAAAGTGACACTTGCATGCAGTTCATACCTCTCTTTCCAGATTGCTCTGGAACTCCTCCAAAAAACTGGTCATATCAGGATCTCCTTCAAAGTCACTGAAGTGATTGTTAACCCATAACAACACAACTCGGGTTACCTGATCAGAGGAGAGAGAGAAGAACTTTGAGTCCCGTCCAGCTGAAGATTTATGTGTGTTTCTTTAGAAAAGGTTGAGTCAGTCACACTACCTTATCCCGTAAACTGGAGTCATTAAACCAGTCCAGAAGTCTCTGTCCCAAAATCAAAGGACTGGGCAGGAAGGTACGATAGGTCAACAGGAAGTCTTCAATATATGTGGGGTCGACAACTAAATGGTCCTCCACTAAGTGCTGCATCAGCCTCTCAGCAGTACCCTAAAAAGTGTACATCAGATTTTTCTTTTAAAGGGGACATCGGATGCAAAATTCAGCGGATTAGTTTTTTTTTTTTTATGGTAACGCACCACTGAATACATAAAAAAATGGAAGAGAGGGGTAGGGTGAGCTCACTATCATTTAAAGAGACATGCACCAAAACAGAGCTGTTTTTGACAAGGTCAAAAGGGTGTTGTTTCACACGACCATTGAGGGGTTTCAACCAAAGTATGTTGCAGACATTTCATGAAGACCCTAAAGAATCATACCAACTTGTGGAAAATGGGCATCCGATATCCCCTTTAAATTATCAGATTTAAATATCTTTTTTCTTTTCTGGTAAAACAAGGTACAAAAACACACATTTTTAATCAATAAATTTATTCAGGTTTATTAATTGGTTAAATCGCCTGGCAAAGTAAATAAACCATACACTACTGTTCAAAAGCTTGAGTTCGGTAAGATTTTTTTATGTTTTTGAAAGATGTTTCTTATGCTCCCCAAAATGGCATTTATTTTTACCAAAAATACAGTAAAAACTGTAATATTGTGAAATATTACAATTTAAAATAACGGTTTTGTATTTAAAATGTCATTTATTCCTGTGATGGCAGCAATTTTCAGCATCATTACTCCAGTCCTCAGTGTCACATGATCCTTCAGAAATCATTCTTAATATGCTGATTTGCAATTATCACAATTGAAAACAATTGTGCTGTTTATATTTTTTGTTAACTGTGACATTTTGTTCAGGATTCTTTGATGGATAGAAAGTTCAAAAGAACAGCATTTATTTGAAAGTTAGTAAAAGTTTTTACTGTCACTTTTGAGCAATGTAATGCATCCTCAATTTCCAAAAAGAAAAAAAAATGCCATCAAACTCTATGTGAGGGGGAAAAAACTGATCTTTAATCCACAGAATGTGAAGGGGATGTTCAATTGTTTATTCTCAAAGGGTATGTTGTACTACTTCTGTGGGCTATTATATTCACATAACATAGAAAGTCAAGAGATTAAAATATACCAGATTCATCGACTTCAAAACTGAAATCTGATTTCTCAGTGGAGTGCTTTTTCAAGTCAGATTTTTCCAAAAGACAGTAATACCTTGACAACAATGTGTCCCTTGCGGGTGCCCGTCCGGTCGAGTTCTCGGTGTTCTTTTACCATGACGATTTCTCCTTCCTCCTCTACTCGCTGTGTGTTCTGCTCAACCTGATTCAGAATGGAGCAGTAGTCCTGCTGCGCAATACACACAAACTACACACACACACACACACACACACACACATTAACTGGTGTTTTTTTTTGTCTCATCATTTTATGCACAATTTGCATTACAAATAACTAAAATACTTGAAAATCTAGATTCCGTTTATTGACAAATGAGCTATTGGATGATCAGTGCACAATCATCCCCATTCATCCTCTTACCTGACAATCATCCACTTTGGTCCTCATGACTCCAGTCATCAGCTGTTTCTCCATAGAAGGGGAGACACCAAAACTTCCACCCATACACACACTCTCACTGCCGCCACCTTGATAGATCACCTCTACTGCTCCATTCAGAATGACTGACCATGAGTCCAGCTAAAAAAACACACACACATTTGCCTGTTATCAGCTGAACACAAATGAAGAGATGAACACAGATGAAATGCTGCAATGGGTCCCATCTAACCTCTTCACCGTGGTTGAGTACAATGGTTCTGGCCCGTTCCACGACCGCAAACACCATGACGGCACAGAGTTCCCTCCGCACCGAAACACTCAGACTGGCAAATGCCGGAAGCTGCTGCACAAACTCCAGCAACTGCTCTGTACACAGAAAGAGAACATAAAAGTGAAAGCGTAAATGAAAGTAAAAATGAAAGTAGCATCATTGAACACATTAAAGAACAAAAGTGTACCAATGTCATCATCTGTACGGTCCATAGGATCTTTCTCCAGACAGTCTCTCACAATATCTCGACTCATAAGAGGGTCCGTTCCCCTCCCTACGTCTTCATCATCATCATCCTCGTCCGTGTCCACTGCTGTTTCAGGAAGCCCACTCAGATCCATGTCTCCAGATTCACTTTCAGTGGCCTGTGAAAGAAAACATGCGAGTTCAAAATGGGTTTCTTCACAAATTTTCAGCTGATGATGTTCATAGACATTTGCAGCTGACATATGATTTGCAGCCTTTGTGACCCGCATTTACAAATAAACAAAGCAAAACACATGAATATGAGCGTGTGTGTTGGCACTCTGAGCCGGCTGTGTTTGTACATGCGGTGGATGTTTGTGTGTGCATGTGTAATGCTGATCTGTGGATCAAAAGCTGTGCGCGCTTGAGGACTGACATGAATAGGTTATGAAGAGGTGACAGATGGACCACAGAAGAGGGTGGGGGGGACAGGATTTAAATGTGTGCGAGTCCCAGATGTTCACAATAAATATCTGTCAGGATGCGCTTCTGTTGTGGAGTGTGTAAGGAGATTGCTTTCTGAAATAACCTCAAGTGTCTCTTATCACCTGGTAAATATCTGATAGGCTGCTACTTCCTGAATCACTAGCAATGCTGGAACGGGATTGGCTGGAAGTCATATGGGAGTGGCAACTGTCAGAGGGGTGAAGCTTTGAGAAGTCGGCAGGAAGCTGCAAGAGATACATATACCATTACAAAAAGAGTGATAAATAAACAAATAAGCACACACATATATATATATATATATATATATATATATATATATATATATGTGTGTGTGTGTGTGTGTGTGTGTGTTATATAAATCTCAATTTTAAAAAATTGACCCTTATGACTGGTTTTGTGGTCCAGGGTCACATATATGTATAAATTGGTCAACAGTTCATGTAAATTGTCCTGCAGTGACAAATTAATTTTTAAAAGTACAAATATTCCATGTAGACTTCAATTCAAATGATTAAAATGAATATGATTATGATTATACTGCATGTATAATAATTTTTTTTATTATTGTTTAACACATTATTACAGTTTTAGCTGGAGTGTTGCATGTCACATTACAAGACACTGCTGTCATTGCTTCAAATGTCATGTTATATGCAGAAAAATACAACAATTCTTCCCTGACACAAGCTTGGGATCATTTGTGCAAACATAGCTTTTTTTCCCTTCTAGTTCATCAGGAAACCAAGGATTAATTTTAAACCCTGTGTGAGTGTCAGCACAATTATTCTTTAGTGGAATGGATGATGTGTTCTCACACGCACAAGTTCAGCTGAACAGTGGCATTTAAAAAACACACACACACACAAACACACACAAACAGTTCAGCTGAATGGTGGCATTTTAAACATTTAATTATCCATCTACTCTGATTGGTTGATAAAAATAAACACAAAATGAAGTATTATTGCTAGCAGTTTGGCACATACCTAACCTTTCCAGGCTTGGCAATTACCACAATTCCTTGATACAAACAAACACACAGCACCACAAAAAGGTCCAAAAAAGTAAACTAATGTATGGTATAATAACTGAAGCTTTCATCAATTTATATAACGATTAGACATGCTAGCACACACATCAACATCCTACTGTACAGCATACCCTGAGGCTTGCTACAGTAAAGTTGATGGGTTCATGTACTGATGTCCTAGATCAGATGGCCTACATACAGTGACCCTACAACAAAATCACATGTCGAATATACTCACGCAACTCAAAAACTCAATAGTGTGGCCCCTTAAACAAACCACTGATATAACTACATGACATGTATTAAATATCAATGGCAAGAAAAAAACTGCAAAAACATCTTTAAAAAAAGTACAAATCAAATCAAATATTAAATTGCATAACATAACCAGAAACTAAATTATGCAGATGTGAATAGAACCACTGAAAAATAAATTATCAATTTTAAATTAAATTTAGATTGCACAACGAAACCAGAAACAAAAGTATGTAGATTAATAACTTAATTGAATTCATTTAATTCAATTCAAATTTAATTATAAATGTAACTAAAATTATGCACATAATTTATATAATTGTACATAAATGCAATAATTTCAATTATCTATTTAATCAGAATTTAATTAAAATCAGATTGCACAACAAAACTGTAATTCTGCCCAACTCGGAATATTTTTGTTCACTTAGAAATTGCATATTCAAAATAATACTTTTTTTGCTTGGATACTGTCAATGCCAAAACTCAGTCCACTCATTGCATTCAACTGCTCCCTAATACTTTATAAAATGAAGCATGCATAGCTAAACAAAGAATGCATGCACATCATGTTTATTTACAATTAACTAATGCATGCTTTTGTTTAGCCTGTTGTTGCAAAATAACTGTGCATGTTGTCCACAGGCTTTTGTGTTTCGAGAGAGAGAGAGTGTGTGTGAGTGAGTGAGTGAGTGAGTGAGTGAGTGAGTGAGTGAGAGTGAGAGAGATACTCACAGTCCTGGTCTCCTGTCCCCTGACTCCATAGCCATGAGACCGGACTAGCTGTCTCATAGCCTGCAATACTGAATGCCCAACCATCCTGTGTGCTAACCTCTAAACCATCTTCAGTCTCTTTCTGTACCACACTGTTCTAACCGCACCTATTTGATCTTCAAATCTCTTTCTCCCCAAAGCACTCTCTCAGAGACAGCATCCCTCTCTACTGTAATCTGCCCATCACCATAGTAACAGACAGCATTCTGGCAGAGGGATGTTTCTGCAGACACAATTTTCATCAGACCCTGCCCCTCTGTCCCATTCACACACACACACACACCCCCCAATGTGAGATCATGGGATTATCAAGAGGCTGGTATTGTTTAAGCGGAGGGGGGCGGGGGATGGTTGACACCCACTGCCCTACTAAACCAGTCACTAGGGTCAAGCCTGCAATGATTGACAGCTCACTGAACAATCAGGATGCAACATATATCTGTCAAAATCCTGCCTTTCTGCTGTCGATCAGGTCCATGACAAGTCAGAGGATAATAAAAAAACTCATGCAAAGAGACTAAATTCTCAAAGCGTCACAAGTGGGAAACTGAGAGTGATTGAAAAGAAGATAGGAAGCTTTTACCAGATTAGATTTGCCAAGAATGCAGCCAAGACTATGGCTCTGATCCAAAACCTAGTGATCTGCCTTACACGACAATAATGTACAAAAAATTCAGAACTTTTCCTTTGTATTTTTGAAAGGTTGTGTCTAGGCTGGAACAACATTCAAACTTTAACACCTTTTGAGGGAATCAACCTATAAATAGTTTACTTAATTGTCATCTCTAAATCTAAAGCTGACAAGTGTTTCAACAAAAAAAATACACAAAGCAGCTTTGAAGATTATTATTCTATAGTATTAAAAGGTAAATTACCTGGGATTTGGAGCATTCCTGCAGCAAGACAAAATTAAAACACATTAATACACCTTCCATGGGTTAATTTGAGGACAAAACACAGTGACACTTCACAATAGGGGTGGGCGATATGGCAAAAAAAAAAAAGCATATCACGATTTTTCCAGGAAAATCACGATTCACGATTTTATCACAATTCTTTTTCATGCTGGTTTTACTATTTTGCAAGTTGTCTGAGCAGTACAGCCAAACTAATTTCCCTATTTTAAAAACAAAGCCTAACAAGGTAACAAAATATAAAATAAAAAAAGAATGGCAGATATTTAGGCCAAAGTGGGCGAATTTAAAAAATCTTTGTTATTAAAAAATAAGAACAAAGATACAAATTTGAAATATACATATACTAATTAAAATATAATGCTTTATTTTTCAGGTATTTAGCAGTAGCATTCAAGAAATCGAATGAACAAATATAAAACACTATCCACTTCACTGTATAAATTAAACATTGATTCTTATTAAAGAAACTGTATTAATGTTCTTCAGTCAAGAGCAGTGAGTGATTTTTCTCTTTGTGTTTTTGTGTTTTGTTGTTTTATTAATATTAAAGGGACAGTTCACCCAAAAATGAAAATCCTGTCATCATTTACTCACTCAAGTTGTTTTAAACCTGAAAAAGTTTCTTTCTTCTGTTGAACATACAAGTTATTTTGAAGAATGTGGGGAAACAAACAGTTGTTGGTCCCCAGTGACTAAATTAGTTGTTTTTTTTTACTACTAAACTGTTTGGTTACCCACATTCTTCAAAATAACTTTTGTGTTCAGCTCAAGAAAGAAATTAATACAGGTTTAGGACAACATGAGAGTGAGTATGACAGAATTTTTATTTTTGGGTGAACTATGCCTTTAATGACAAGCGGCAGCATGTTCAGTACTATTAGTCTGCTGTCACTTTAAGAGCATTCGTTTCTCTCCCAACTGTTTACTTTCACTTTAGACATAACCAACTGTGTTTATATGTAAATCTTGTGTTTTTGACAGTATTAGCGCAATCAGATGCAAAAGATTACTCATTCCAGTAATCAGGTGCAGTTTGACAGGCTTTTTAGTGTGCGTATGCTTTAGGTGTATGCGCTCAGAAAAAGAGCATGTCAGAACAGCACGTGAATGAAATATTTAACCAGCAAGGCTTTTTATGCAAAAATTGCAAATAATGTACTTTTGTGATTGCGAAGTGCAATGTCCCGTGAGTGTAACTCTCCCGCTGAGTTAACATTTGATGTGAATGTACGTTGCGTTGTACAGTAAATTGAGACGGAGGCGCCAGAACTGCAATGATACTACGATATTTCTTTAAAAGCAAATTGTGGAGACATTTTAATCATCCACAATCAAAAATTGTGATATGGCACACCCCTACTTCACATAGTTAAATGTTAACGAACAAAACAAGATGAGTGATAAACTCATTTCTGTGTTAAAAATGCATACATTGATATTAAAATGAGAGTTAAGGTACAGTCACATTTAGCAATGTTTGGCAAATTTTTGTGAAAATAGTTGTTTTAATAGGATTCTATGCTTTTGGGATTTTTATATGAGATTGAAAGATTACCCAGGCAGATTTCACAGCGGGTTCAAGTCACACAAACTCACCGCACTGACCAACAGAAAGCTGCTCGTTTAGAAAATGACTTCTGTGAGAGCTGTGCTTCATACATCACTACAAAATAACTTGCAAATTTCACTAATGTGACCGCACTTTAACGGCTGCAGCTATTTGTACACTCATAATGTGATCAAAATAGCTCATTTAAAATGATATATATGTCTGAACGGACCGAGTGGTATCCTGGTGGCAGAGGGGGCTTGCTGACTGGATAATGATCGACCGTATCAATTACAGTCTGTCGCTCTCCGCGCTGGTTTATCTTGCGGAATCTTCTCCTGGACTGCCGATGAGATGCTTGTCTTTGGAAATACTCATCGTTGTCATCCACGTAGTCCACCTGAGAGAGACAGATAGTGGATAACTGTATCCCCATCTAACTGAAACATGGGTTATGGCACATATACAGGCCTGTGTAACTCACCACAATCATTTCTGAAGCCTCAAGGACGATACACTCACAACCACGACGCAAACTACCCGCAGAACGCTTACCAAAACTGAAATAAAACAGCATACATCACACAAAACACAGAACAGGACACAAAGAGGAAACAATGGGGCAAACCAAACGCAAATCAAACACTCATACCTGCTGCGGGGCAGAAACATGGATTCCTTTATAAAGACTGAGCCAGACAGGAGGATATACCAGCAGGTCCCAATGTCATCAGGACTGTAACACACACACAGACACACACACACACACACAGACATATATTACAACATCACACACACACCAAAACACAACACTTCTATTTTAGTCCATTCTTACTATTATACTCCGAGTGGAGCAATGACCTAACAACACATGCCACGTTGGGGAAAGGAAAATAAAGTGATGAATCATACAAATGTGGGTGAATGCATCTAGCTCAATTTAGTAGTTCCAAGATCAAAGGGGCACCTATGGTTTTTTCAGGATTCTTTGAATAGAAAGTTCAAAAGACAGCTCTTCCTGAGAAGCACTGAATCTAACAGCCAAGCACCTAAACATGACTTTGTTTCCCAGACTGAATCATTCCAGTTTGAGAAAGCACTCGCCATGTTCGTGTGCAATACGAATTGGTGAAGGACTGTTGGTGGTCCTCGGGCATGCCATCTGAGGTTAAGACTGGTGGGTTTTAAACTATGCTGAGGAAAACCATATGAGCCTACATATTTTGCACAAAACAATTCTCAAGTGAAAAGAAGCACATGGCTGATTTAGTGTGTTTTGGAAAGCACAGACTTTGACAGCCTAGTAAATGCAGGCATTACACCACAGTGAAATTTACTGCAGATAATGGGAGGTTACAGTTAGAAAAATGGGGGAAAAAATGGGGAAAAAAGTACATAACTGTTGGGGAATGTTCCAGATTTTGATGAGCTAGCATGACTTCACTTTTCCATAAGAAACGTTACTGTAAAAGATTTACTTGAACATTCAAGTATGAACTGAGAAACTTAAAGGAATGCACTGAACTTTCATAATTTCATATTTTGATTTTAGACTTTTTATATTAATTGCTTTCTCCTGTCGCTATCTCTCTTACCTCATATCAGGACCGGAGTGGGACTAATTTTCAGCCCTGGAGTTTCATGCCTTAGACCAGCCCACTTTGTTTTTGTTTTTACTGGCCTTTTCAGTGCCGCCTTTGCGCTTTCTATTATAAATTTTTTATCTATTATTTTTTGCTCGCATATCTCCAACAATGACTTTTTTTTTTTTTTTAAACAAGTTTCCGCTGTCAGGGGAGTCAAAAGATAATTACGTCGTCATTGCCAATTAACATAAGAAATGGAAAATAAGGGACATTTGTAATTCTTTATCTTATTCTTTAAGAAAATAGTGTTTATTTTTGTAGAAAATAGTGTTTATTCTTGTAGAAAATAAGTGTTTATTCTTTAAGAAAATAAGGGACAAAATAAGAGACGTTCCAAATATTTGTACTGTACCATAATGTAGCTAGGCTTAAGTCTGCCTGTTCCGCTGTCAGGGGAGTCAAAAGATAATTACGTCGTCATTGCCAATTAACATAAGAAATGGAAAATAAGGGACATTTGTAATTCTTTATCTTATTCTTTAAGAAAATAGTGTTTATTTTTGTAGAAAATAGTGTTTATTCTTGTAGAAAATAAGTGTTTATTCTTTAAGAAAATAAGGGACAGAATAAGGGACGTTCCAAATATTTGTACTGTACCATAATGTATGTCTGCCTGCAGTCAAATAGTTCTCAGAAATAATCACAAGAAAATAAGGGACAAAATAAGAGACGTTCCAAATATTTGTACTGTACCATAATGTAGCTAGGCTTAAGTCTGCCTGGAGTTAAAAAGTTCTCAGAAATAATCACAATTGTTTTGCTTAACCTATTTATGTACAATTATTCTAAAAATAATGTTAAATGTCATACAAAAAATGTCATCGGCCTGAGTAAATTGTACCAATATAGAATTGTGACTTCACGTGTAATTGAGCAGGTGAAAATACTGTGAAATTTGATATTGTCATGAAATTTGAAAATCAAACAACTGAAGGTCTATGAAACGTCAGTCAATCAAGCATTTTTTTTGAAACAATGGCACTTAAAGTTTTCATCTAAAATATTATTGCAACTATAGCCTTTGAATGAATGAAAATGCATATTTTTCAATTAAAGAAAACTTAAGAGAGTGTGGGCCGCTTCTGGTGCTTGGATTTTTACTTCAATAATGAGGTCCAAGTTTAAGAATATCCTACGCAAGAAGTATTTATTTTATTACTATATATTTTGTTTGTAATGCATTTTTTCCCCTCTCTATTTAACAGCATTAACTTACAATGAAAGACGTCTTCCCTCAGGTAGATTAAATGTTTTCCTGCCGTGCTGGATGTTGGGCTCATGATCAATAAGTTGTTTGCATTCGCTCAAACTGATTTTGTAAAATAAAAAAGCGGACGTTGAAGGGTGCAGGAGAATTCCGCTTGGTCTTAAAGCCTTCCTCAAACGTTTATGTTCACAAATAAAACAATGATTTGCACAAAAAGAATGATTAGTTATCACAGTCTATTTTAGTTATCAATTAAGAATTTGTTACTGATATGATCTGGTGAAAATAATAATATGGCCTGCGAGAATAAATAAAAAAAGAGAGGGGCTGATATGAGTGCAGGCAGCCTACGAACAGCATCATTCATCCCAGTGGCATGACAACACCGGCCCTCGTGGCCAAAAAACAGACCGGCCCACCGGGAATCCTCACGGTGCTCTCGATTAGCCAATCCGGGCCTGCCTCATATGTAGCACAATATTTCGTTTAGATAACTTCCTATTATTGTATTTTAGTACGATTTCCATGTGGAATCATGTACTTGTATTTTTTTAGTATTTCATTTTTTATTTTTTATTCTTCTTCTTTGTGTGTGTGTGTGTGTGTGTATTTGTATAAGATGCTCTGTTTTTGTTTTAGGGTGACATTTTAACATCCTGTCAAGGGGCTACAGATGAAAAAAATAACATTTTTGGCTAATTCTGGCACATTTACAGCCATGTTTATTAAATGTGCATTGCCCCAGTAAACAAACAGACTAAACTAAACTCGGATTCAATACAAATTAGACTCTATATCATGCTTGCATTTTTCATTTTAGGTGCAATGTTCACAGAAAATAAAAGTAAATGTAATGTAAAATATCATGCTTGTATTTTTCTTAAAATCACAAAATAAGACTGTTTATTATAGAGCTGTAAAATTGTCTAAATCATCCTTTATCAGGAGAGAATACTTTCCTAGGTGGATGAATTTATGGTTACGTGTTATGGATGTAATGTCATAAAGTGCATATAAACAGTCCCTTTCTGGCACACTAACAGTTTAACAAAGTTACTTGGCCATGACAATGAAGTCAAAAGTTTGGATATAACCAACTTTACACAGCCAAGATCAACAAATGATTTTATCACAGTCTCGTGCCAACATGTCCTGTGGTTATACTTCTGAAACGTGTGTATTTTAATGTTTATTGCCTGGCTCCATGTGCTTAGTGTAACTGCTTTTTATACTTTTAAAAATATTTTCTGTGGTAATAGATATTATGTCACTAATACTGCTGATGAGCTTAACTTCTAATAAATCTGGAACATTCCTTTAATTGTATCAGCAGTAACCCAAGCAAACAGGGGGTCTTGAACATAATGTTTCATTTTAACAAGCATAGTGTGTGTCTATATTCAAAAAGCCTTTAGAAGCTTAACTGAGCACTAGACAGACGTCGGTGTGTTTGTGTCTGAGATAGAGAGAGATGGAGAGCGAGCAGATGCGTGTGTGTGTGTGTGCATAAAATCAACCTTGTGACTTTAATGTAAATCTCTGACAAACTAACCTAGATAGAGATACATTTTCTCATAGCCTTTGTGAGAGTGTATTGAGTGTGTGTGTTTGGATACTCACTAGTATAAAACCTCATTAGCTTCATGCTGTTCATATCGAACTGTCTCACACATCAACCTGCAGGTGAAATAAACAGTGTTGAGCACATTCCTTCTGTAATGTAGTAATGAAAGTCCCCTCACGCACACACACTGTGGTCTCGTACCTGAGCTGGTGTTCCCTTAAGTTGGACAGCGCTTCCATGCCATGGAGGTACGAGTACACGATCTGCAGATCCTGCAAAACAGAGACGTAGAAGGTCACATATTACATTGATGCTACTTTACTACCGAAAACATCACATTTAGCTCTGTGCCACATTTTGTATGCAACCGTTTGCAGTTAGCAAATGCTTTCTTATTTAGCATTCCTTAAAATGATGTCACCCAAAAAGTCATTTGGACCTTTTCCAGAGCGTAAATAATCTCATTCCAGATTTCCTAACTTTTTACACAAGATTTTATTATTGGCTGCATATGTCATGCTCAACAATTCAACCAATAATACTAAAGCTATTGCAAGAAAAGAAGATAAAACAAAATACATTTGCATGTATCAATAGCTAAAACTCAATGTGTTAAAGATGTTTTTTAGTTCAGCATTTTCCATAATTAATTAGTTTATTCTATTTTCATTGATGGAAAAATAAATCTGCATTTAGACACGTCTCACATTTTGTAAACATGGAAACATTTTTACAAATGTGTAGTTATAGTTCAGTTTAGCTGTAGAAATTTTAAGAAGGCTAAGCACCTTTTTTACCAGCAATTTATTGGGAAAAGAAGCGGGGGAAAAAAGTTTTATGCCAATGCAGCAATAAATAATAAAATATTTTTTTTAAGGACACAAATTTCCCTGATTAATCGGCTTTTTTCCCCCTCACAAGACATTTAAAAACTGCCTGTAATTACACAAAAGCACCAGTAGGAGGTGCCCCATATATAGGAATATATACACAAATAATAAATACACACCTTTACCAAACACACTGCACACATAACCCTCCTTAATCACTATTTAACTCCACCCATCCAGAGTTACGCAGTTAGCATTGAACAAGAATGGAATGTTTGCAGATACTAAGATCATTCACACCTTCACTTTCAGGTCTCTTTTTTCTGACTTCTGTTTTTCCCTCTCTACTTCTGTCATTATTCGGTTCCTCTTTTGATACAAGATAAAAGATAATATGGATGTGTCTCATGACCTAGCAAGTGCCTACCTCTTTGGGCATCTTATATAAACTTGTTAGACATTCACAAAACATAAAAAAATATTTTTAATGCTAGTTACCTGAATAACACCACTTTTGGTTTAATGGCAAATACATTTAAAGTTGTTGATGTTTGTTACTGCCACAGTAATGAAATGTTAAGTATACAACAGGACTGTGTGCTTGCAACATATTCGTTTTGTGTGTTTCTGGTCTAACAGACACCGTTCCTCAAATGTGATTGTCTATGGATGTTTTTGTAAGCAAATTACTGATTAGGAAAATCTTGTGAGAGAAATCATTTAATGGTCAAAGATTGTTCTGTTAATGCAGCTGAACAATCAGCCTTACAGTGAGAATATATGAACCTATTACACAAGGGCATATCGAATATCAGGAAGAGGAAATAGCTACACAGCAGATATAACCACATTAATGCTAATTTAGAAACCATTTATTCACACTTCTGCAATGCGAGAAAGCAGCGAGATGGAAAAACCTCAAACCAAGTACAAGCACCTTCAACTCAATGTGGGACGATATCTCAAAATGACCCAAAACAATTTATCATCACAGTAACTAAAAAGTGACTAAAAACCTGCGAAAAAATTTATTTTGATTTACTAACATGTTAGCTTGCTTAACCCATTCTTAAAGGGCCGGTCATGCAGTCCTGTCGACATAAGTTTAGTGTCACCAACTAAGCATTTCCTGCGATTTGGTATGAGATTCATACTAAAAAAAAACAAAAACAAAAAACACAACGAGGTTCAAATATAATATAATATAAAAAAAAAAAAATATATATATATATATAATATAGAAGCATGAAAATTTACAAGAACTTCAGATATTTTATCAAAAAATTTTACATCACAATCTTTCATTCTTTTTAATTTGTCAAAATTCTGAAACTGCTTACTTCTAGGTTTAAATCACAGATTTTCAATGTGGTCTCAGGAGTTTGGATCTCACTATATGTGTGAAGTGAAGTGCGGAGACCTTTAAAGGCCACAACTTTCACACATTTATCTGTACTAGGGGTGTGTGCGATATCAGTATTTTTGATCGTGGATGATTAAAATGTTTCCACGATCTGCTTTTGAAGAAATGTCATAATATTGTGCTGCAGCGCACATTCTATCAGTTACAGTTCTGGCACCTCTGTCTCAATATACTGTACAACGCCACATACATTCACATCAAATGTTAACTCAGTGGTAGAGTTACACTCACGGGACACTGCAATTATTAGCAATAACGAAAGTACATTATTTGCATGTGCATTAAAGCCTTGCCGGTTAAACATTTAATTTGTGTGCTGTTCTGACATGCTCTTTTTCTGACCGCGTACACAGACTAAAAAGCCTGTCAAACTGCACCTGATTACTGGACTAAGTTATCGTTCACGTCTGATTGTGCTAATAATGTCAAAAACACACAAGGTTTACACAGTTGGTTATGTCTAAAGTAAAAGTAAACAGTTGAGAGAAAAACGGATGCATGCAGCTCTTAAAGTGACAGCAGACTAATAGTACTGAACATGCTTGTCATTAAAGGGATAGTTCATCCAAAAATTACAATTGTGTCATTTACTCACTCTCATGTTGTCCCAAACCTGTATATCTTTCTTTCTTGTGCTGAACACAAAAGATGATATTTTGAAGAATGTGGGTAACCAAACAGTTGCTGGTCCACATTGACTTTGATAGTAGGAAAAAAAAATACTAATGAAGTCACTGGGGACCAACAACTGTTTGGTTCCCCACATTCTTCAAAATAACTTTTTATGTTCAACAGAAGAAAGAAACTCATTCAGGATTAAAACAACTTGAGAGTGAGTAAATGACAATTTTCATTTCTGGGTGAACTGTACCTTTAATGATAATAAAACAACAAAACACAGAGAAAAATCACTCACTGCTCTTGACTGAAGAACTTTAATACAGTTGTTTTAATAAGAATCAATGTATAATTGATGTACAGTATATATAGTTTTATCTTTATATTTGTTCATTCAATTTCTTGAATGCTACTGCTAAATACACCTACTGTAACTGAAAAATAAAACACTGTTTGTTTTATTTGTATATTATGTGTATTTGTAATGTGTATCTTTGTTCTTAATAACAAAGATAAAACAACCCTCTACGCACACATTGGCAATTTAATCGCCATTGGCTAGTACATTTTTTAAGTTTAGTCGCCAGACTGATATACTATTTTACACACACACACACACACACACACACATATATATACTGTATATTATTTTACCAAAACAGCTTATCTTTGTAAAATGGCACAGCTTCTTAAATCTTAGCTTCTTAATCAGTTAATCAAGCATTATATTATGATATTATGATAATTAAGCACTATTTAATTATTATTAATTACGATAGAACTTTAGTGATTAGAACTAAAACTTGGTAACTGTGTATGAATGCTTATTTGTCATTTTAACTGAACTTAGGACTGGTGGTGATGCTTAAGATATTGTTGGCCATTCAGGGTTTCTTAAAAAAAAAAAAAAAGATAATAGTAATAGATAGTAATTATTAAAAAATAATACTACTACTAGTTCTACTACTATACTAACATTATAAAACACACTAAGGATTAATGAGCTGCTGGGTTCATGAATATTAATCACGTTGTCAGCGTTCCCTCAAACTGATTTGCTGAAATCAAAATTTGGCGAGTTTGGCGAGATGAGCGCCAGCCAATGAGAATGTCGTTTGCGCATTAGCTCCGCCCACTACCAGAGAAATCAGCATATCGTCTGCTTGTTTTTAAAAGCTGAATAATTTCAAATGAATTCTGTTATTTTGACAGGAAAATACAACGAAGAATATAGTTTACATGTAGCGCGTCGATTCAGCGTGGTATGTAAGACTCTCGCTCGGTCTCTTTGCATGTGTGAGAAACAGCGCTATCAGCAAAGCGGCGGCGAGTCGTGCACCTTCACACTAGAGTTTACGGTGCGTCAAATACAGCTACGCTGCGCATCCATTGAGATTAATTGAAAAAGTACAGATTGCTTGATGGAAAGCAAAACTCTGAAGTGCTCAGTCAGAGTGTTCATCGAGTGAAAATATATTTGTGCTAAACTTACACTTAGCCTCTAACACACACACTGGCAAGTAAAATCTAAGAATTTATTAGCCAATGGCTAACGATAGACATCATTTAGTCGCCCAGAGTAAAATTTAGTCGCATATGCGAGCGATTTACTCGCAATGTAGAGGGTTGTAAAAAATGACAAAGATTTTTATCTTTGCCCACTTTGGCCTAAATATCAGCCATTCTTTTATATTTTGTTTCCTTGTTAGACTTTGTTTTTAAAATGGGGAAAAGTTTGGCTGTACTGCTCAGACAACTTGCAAAATAGTAAAAACAACATGACAGTACCGTGATAAAATCGTGAATCGTGATTTTCCTGAAAAAAAATTGATATATTTTTGCCATATTGCTCACCCCTAATCTGTACCATCAGCTCTCCACAGTAAACTCACTCAAACGGGACATCAGAGGCATCATCTTTTCTTTCTCTCCTCCCTGACATTTCAACAACCTTTCTCATGGTCTTTGACGCCCTTCCAACCCATCGATATCTCTAATCTACACTTACTACAGTCAAATGAAACTAAATTCAAACTGCCCAATGGGTTCCAGTCAGGAGCGTTGTGCTGTGGCCTGCAATTGGTTGATTTGAGTAGAAGGGCAGGAATGTTTATTCTTGGACTATGTCATTTCCTCTTTGAGAGACAGACACGCACATAGAGTTCTGATTATGGCAACGGACTGAGACCTCGGAGTCAAGAGACCAAGGTCACATTTCAGTTGGTTGTGGAAGACCTGGCCACTGAATCACTGAATTAAATTAATCAAATCTGGAAAATACTTACTTGCACACATGTTGGCATGACCCTTCAAGCTAATTATGTTGGTGTAACAGTTGCAGTTCAATAAAATACCAACAAATTAAATAACAATTTTTTTAACTGCATTGTTTACTTCCATT